GTTGTTGAACCACATGATTCCACCATGAAAGAGACACAGGAACTTGAATTTCTTGAATAAAAGGCAGGTTAAAAGTAAAACCTGCCTCTGCTACAGGACAGAATAAGCAAACTTGTCTTTGAAAAATATGATTCCAAACTCTTTCAAGGTGACAGAATATAGTAGTCCCACATCCTTTTAAAAGCCCCCCAATATAATTCCATTCATTTTGCTTGCATTGAAATCTTAATAGAAATTGAATAGGATTTTAATTTATTTTTAGTTATTAATTTTACTAATTATTTTAAATTTACTTCCTTTTTAGCTAATAACACTTTGAGTGAACATTCTGTTCTTTCCCTGACAGCTGCCTATCTGAAGTATTTAGAGTGTGTAGTAACCCGTGCATCTCAGTGGATGCTGGCCTTCAGACACAAACAATAAATACTGAAGATGCAGTGCCCACACCATATGAGGTTTTGCTCTCACTAGTGCTGGACTGGAGCCCTGGATTTAAGTAATTTTAGCTGTTAGAGAATGGTAGAACTGTTTCTTTTATGTGTTTGGCTTCATTTTCATCCAGAATGGAAGCAGCTGAAATGCTGAAACCACTCTATGGTATGAATGTGTGTGTGTGAAGTATGAGAATAATTAGGAGACTGACTTCAAAATTGTATTCTTGATCTAAACTAAAACATCAGTGTAAGTTCTTTATTTACTCTTTTCAGGAGAACAGGCCTTCATTTTATCTTGCCGAAATATAATCAGTCGACAGGAGAAGCAAAATTAATTTTAAAAAATCCTACTAATGTCACTATATTTAAATGAAAATGCTCTTCTCTAAATCATTAAATAAATTCAATAATGATTACACTTAAAATTTAAGGACTAATCTAGTTAAGTAAAGTTGGTATTGGATGCAGTTTGCGAGTATCAAAGTCACCAAATTGCTATACAGGATAGGAACTTGGTTTCATCTATTAATAAAACACGCTTAAAAGTGCTATTTTCTTTGGTATTATCCTCAAATGGAAGTCAAATGGAATGGTATCTAAGACTCTAGCTATATATTAGAATTTTTTTTCCATTTTCTCTCACAAGTTTAAAAAGTAGTTTTGTTCATAGGAGGTCTCTCTTTATTGTAAGATCTGAAAATAAATTATATTTCTCCTGTGAACAGACAGAAGTGCAAAAGAAAACTGTTTTTTCTAGACCTAAGTTGTTGTATGCTACATGTTGAAATTTATTTCCTCACAATGAAATCAGAGATTGTGTTCATGAAAGGAGAATCTGTCTTGGAACAAGGCTTTCTCCTAAGACTCAAACAATCCCTGATCTTACCAAAATCATTTTCAGAATCAATATACATGAAGAAAAAAAAAAGGAATATAGTACGTTGAATAATTTTGTTGAAGTATATAACTATTACGTATCCAAATGAACTGGGATAAAAAGAAGTAATAAAGGGTATCAATGCCTAGTTACCAGTGGGAAAAGACCTTTCACTAAAAATCCATGCTTTGACTTCTCAGTACTGATCTTGACTGAATTTCAGTGAAATGCCATCTTAAGGTCCTGGTAGTTGAAATTCATAGCTCAGCTGAATGTTAAGTGAGAAAAAAAAAAAAATCAAGCAATTAGAAATGCTTGTTTCATAATTTTGGAATTTCCACATTTCTCATTTCTTCCTCAGGACATATGATCTCATCATACAGAAACTAATAGCATTGTCATTTTTCCCATTCTCAAACGGTCCCTGATCAAACTGTCTCACTGAGGAGCAGAATCAAGTTAAACCCAGAAAAGCTGTTCTTGACATGTTAGATTTTGAGATTGTTTTTTCTGTTCAAGACCTAAACAAAGGTTGTTTCTGAAAACTTATTTTCAATTCTACCAACTTGTCAGGTGCTATCCCTTCCTACAAACTTTGCCTCAGAGCATAATTACGGTGAGGTATTTCAACTTAGGCAGTGATTCCCATCCTGAACATAATACAGGAAAATGTCAATGTCTTGAAGCATGTACTCAGAGCAACCACCTTCTGCAAAGAATCCAAGGAATCCAATTTCTTTCAATTAGACTGCAAAAGAAAGATAAGGAGAGAATGAGTAAATAGCCTGTGCAGTCAGCTTCAAAGGAAGATGTTGGAGCAGCTAAGCAGTTCCAAGATCCTTAGCATAAGAGTCTCAGGAAATTTCACCTGAATATTAGGAAATATAAAGTAATGATGTTACTAATGGAATGCAGCTGGTTTCAATATTGAACACTTCCAGAATACACAGAATACATTTTACACTTTTTGCAAATAGTATGTCCCTTGGCAAAATGATTTTGCTTTTGTATTTTCACTTTAGCAATTGTATAAAGATATAAGAGAAAAACTTATTCCCTCTTACCTTACTGATGAAGAGTGACAAAGAGACAGGTAGTTAAAGATATTACCTTTCTTTTAACACTAAGGGGAGCATTCTTAGATTTTGTACATCTGAAAGGCAAAAAATATTAGTGACTGCATTATTCAGTTGCAGTAGTCTCTGAATGGTGAACATTAGTCTCATGAGTGTTAAATAACTGTGAAAGTTTATACTCATATTTGAACAAAGGACTTCAGCTTCTCTTTCTGACAGCTTATATCTCTGAATGAGAGGTGTAAATAAAAGAAAAATGGAAACGTACTTGTCCTATTATTACGTGCTCTTCAAAATACTCTTACCCCGTCATTCCTATAAGTTCCCTTCAGTTGGTGGAAGGCATCAATTAGGTCACCCCAAAACTTCCTCTTTTCCAGGCTGAGCAATCGCAATTGTCTCAATCTGTTCTCACTGAGAGAGGTGATTTGCCCCTCTACCCCAATCTTGTAGGACACCACTCGGACTGCTGCATCCAGCTCTGGGGTCTTAAACAAAAGATATAACAGTTTCACTGTTTTGTTTTGTTTTTTTTTTAATTATAAAACATAGAATAAGCTGTTTCCTGAAATTTTCTTTGAAGTTCATGACTACAGATTCATGTTTCCCACTAGCAAAACTTTTAACCCAGCTTTGTCTGTCTATTAAATAGTCAAAGCTTAAACCACACGTTGAGCCTAACAAATTCCATTGAAAAGACATGCTTATCCTTACTCCTAACTTTGTCATAGTAAAAGTAGTTGACAGTATGAAATGCACACTAAATCAGATTTCCCTACTGAGAAACTGCTAAACTATGATTTTTTTGCTGTTGTTGTTAATCTATTTATCTTTCCTTAGTCTTTTGAAAAAGTATTTAGATACAAGATTAAAGATTTGGTAATACACATTTCACAGTTCTTGTCTTTTGAAAGCAAACCTCAGTCAAGGGCCATGTAATCTAAATAGTAACTTTTTTCTCCCTGGCACTGGTACCAGAACAGAGCTGTCTTGCCTACATTTTCACTAATCTTTCTGCTGACCTTTGAAGCAAGGAAGCAAAAGAGATCGCTAAAGCAGCCTTAATAGCCTTGTAGGATGGGAAAAATAAGAAAACGGAACTGCTAAAAGTAATAGAGGTCAAAAATGAATCGGTAAATCTGATTTTGGCCAAGTTAAACATGTACAAGTCAGCACAGGATATTTACTCTTTCATAAGTGACAGAACAAAACTGACTGAAATTGCAGTTCACTTTTAAGGAACAAGTTTAAATTAAGGATATAAGAAGACACAAAGCAACTGAAGCCTAAGCTCCTCGTGTTTCAAAAGGGTAGTTATAACTAGCATTCATTGCTTTTAAATATGATACATTTGCAACACAAAGGACTTTTTATTGTCTCCGTTTCTTAATCACTACATGGCTATCAAAAGATGAGAAAAGACATAGTTGGAATGAAATTTAATTTAATTCTGAAATTTTCCCACATTTTAAAGTTTAGTGTTGTTTAGAGATATCGTTTCAGTGGGAATTTTATACCTACTGATATCAATATTGATATCAGTATAATATATAAAATTGATATCAATATCAATATTTTCAAAATAAAATTGATATCAATATCAATATTTTCAAATGAGATGCATACATGCTTTTTTAGGAAAACAGTTCTTTCAAACCTGAGGAAAATTCTGGTCTCAAAAGTTTTTCCACAAAATATCATTTAGTCTAGTAAAAGAATTTATTTTGTCCTTCAAGCAATATATTGCATATATCTGTGAAGCATTCTGCATGTGGCATTAATCAATATGGGTAAGAATTGTGTATTCTGTGCTATTCTACAGTCCTATGGTTTGTCCAACTAATTAACGTATCTGGCACGAACCAAGAACTTACATTGCCAAATATGTGAGACCCTGTAATGCAAGCCAAACACTGAACTGCCACTGTCTCAAAAAAACCCAAAATTCTTCCTTGAAATCTCTGAGGGCAACAATTACTAGAAAAAAAAATAAAAATTATACACACAGAGAACAGTAAATAATTACTGCAAGGATGTGAGAGGGCATGGTTTGAGCAGTTAGAACATTTAAGATGGAAAGAAATGTCTTCAGTTATTGCCAGTACAATAACTGAAGCTACTGTTGTTATTAACTTGGTCTGCAACCTGCATAGTAGATGAAATGGATAGGACAACAGTGAATGTAAGAAAATTGGCATAATACTGTGGTTTTGTTTTGTCAACTAAAACTGTTTCTGGTGTACACATTAATACTGATCTGTACAAATATTTTTCATATTTTGATATAGCTTTGGGCTACATAATATGAAAAAGTCAAACCACTTAGAAGCTTTTGAGAAAATTGACATAATTTACTTTCACTCAGTAGAAAGGCCACAATATTTTAGTGGTTTTGTGAAACTGAAGTCTGAAAGACTGAAAGGTACTAGGAAAAGAAAAATTATGTTCTTTCCCCTAGTGTTAAATAAGTCTATGTCAACATTGAAAATCACCGGTAGATTTTGAGATAATTCAGAGGCCTTTAAGGACATGATTTTTTGTACATTACTGAAAGACAAAATTTTGTCAAATTACATAGT